TCGTCGTTGGTCCTTCTTTCACTAATGATCTCACCATTTTTTAGTAGTTCGCGCGAACGCGCGAGGGACTATCCTTTTTATCGCTTGCGCTTGCTTTTCACTCTCAAGGAAACGGTCTCTCTCTTCTATAAAGCGAAGCAAAGCGCATGGCGCTGAAGTGAAGAAAGCTCAATAAACACACACGAACACGATGCGCATAAATGAGACCGCTGATCATTTCATAAAACATATATGCTTGACCTTTCGCGATGCTTTTTTGGGGCGACCCACCAACCCAGCGATCGATGACAGAATGGTACGAACAAATAAAAGTCATTGGATTTGGTAGTTCTCCATTGACTTCTCTCTTTTCCCCTTTGCATATGTTCCTAAATGGGTGTGCGCCCCCAAGGGCCGGCCTCCCACTCTCTTATGCAGCATTTATTAGCTTGGCTGAGTTGGGTGGATCGTGCAATAAGCCTCTCTCGACTCTCCCTTTCTCATACGTCTTTATGAAAGCCTCTCGCCTTTCGAGATCCGGTCCATCATCAACTCAGTCAGATCTTCTTGTTTGCTTGCTTTGATTAGGCTTCCTTTAACGGATTTGATCGGCATTTCGTGCCTGCAGCCCTGCTGGTTGTATCGCCCCGTACACCTCTTTTAACTAACTAAAAGCTTGGGCTTCTTCTGCGTTAAAAAGCTTGCTTCTCTTTTCTTGAAATATCTTTTTCGTAGAGTCAGGTCAGACATTCGCATCTTCTTCTACTAAATACCCAGAATCCTACCTCTATCCATAAGAATGGAAAGGTTTTCTAGTCGTACCTCTATTGATACGAGGGGCTGCTCCACTCTTCTATTGGTTTAGTGCGAAGGGCTGCCCTACATTCCTATTGGCACGAGGCAGTAGCCGCCGTTACCCGTTTTGGCCGAGAAGTCTTTTAAGATATCTCATAAGCAACTGAACTACCCTACGAGCAGCCAAAACAAAAGAAAGACTGCTAACAGCCTCTCGCCGGGAACTTATGTGAAAGAGAAGAGCAAACAAGAAAATCCGAGCTAGGTGGTCATAACGAAGTACGTTGGGAAACGGATTGCCATAATAGACAGTTGGTACGGAATCATTGAAATGAGGAGACACGTAGACTGCTCGAAGTGCGGGAAGTGCCTTTATTTACTAATATAATTTAGGCCCGCAAGGGTAAGGGTACGACCAATCCATCTGCATCTGCTCCCCCTCTTCCATTCGTTGATCGAACTGCCGATGGTCGGGGGCGAAGAAACTCATTCTCATGCTCATGTGGTGGTTACAATTCAACCTACCCTTTTATCTTAATATCGAAAAATCCCTCCACTTTCACTCGTTATAGTATGATGAAAAAGCTCTCAAGCCACAGCCATTAGATGAAGAAGTTACTCCCTCTTATTAATTTAGTACGGAAGAGGACTACCCTACATCCCTTTGGCGCAAAGCGGCTGCCGCTGTCTGCTCCAGTCGAAATCTCTTTTGGGCTCATGAATAGAGGAAAGAGGATATCTCCCGTAAACCCAATAAATAATAGCTGGGATTGCCCGGTTTCTCTTCTAGTAAATAACCTTCGGAAAGAAAGCATTCCTCCCTCTCGCCTGCATCTGAGGGACTGGGCTCTAACCCAATAACTGAGCCTGCGTCAAGCTAGTTAAATCTTTAGAGGGGCGCTTTTGCCTAATACTAGGCCTACATTCTAGAAAGCAGGCACCGCTGCAACAGAAGAAAAGAAGGATCAACCAAATCCCCACCGACCGGTGAATGGAAGCGAGGGGCGAAGCAACTACTCAATAAGCAACAAAATTGATCTGCAAGCCATCATATATACATCATAAAGTTCCTAAGGCTACGCCCGGAGAAGACATGTACGGGAAAGCTGCCTCCCTTTGGTCAGCAGATGAAGGAGCCGGCCCCACAAGGTATGCATTTTCGGATTTTGCTGCAAGAGATGCTTCAGACTTGCTAATGTAATGGATTTGAATTCCTCTAATTGAGCCACAAAAACCCCAGTCCTTTTCATAGGATTTCGTATAATCCGGCACAGGAGATCTCAAAGCTACAACTAACCTCACGAAGATCAGGAAAAGATTCTAATTCCAGGTTTATAGGCGGTGAACCGCTCTACTTTCTATAAAATTACTTGGGCTCGATCCAACATCAGGATGACCCGACAGGCCGAGCACGTCAACAACTTAATCACGACTTTGTGACCGGGGAAACAAGAGCTAGACTTCGGCAAAGGTCCCAATATCTATAGAATATGAATTTCTTGGAATTAAGTTTCCCTTACCAGTCTGTGTGCGAGATGCCCGGCAAACAAATATAATAAGGGTCGGTCGGTTCAGCATCTCAAGTGGTTGCTTCTTTCGATGTCCATGTGCCAATGCCAGGTTGGATCGGTCGAGACACTTGAATCTTAACTAGCTCCGTTTGCGTTGGATCAGCCTACTTCATGCACGAGCGGAAGACCTCCCCTGCCTTCCTAATAGGAACTAAAGGTACTGCGAAACCAGTCTACCTACCCGCTTGAAGATCCGGCAAGAACGGAGTGAACAAAATAGCTTGACTGCCTCGGAGATTAGAGTTATGATCTTTACACCTTCATTTGTGGGATCAGATCAGATGATGGGTCCAGAAGAGGGGCAAGCACGACTCTCTAAGGCATGGCGCCAAGCAAGACCCATCAAAAACCGATACCCAAATCTGTCTCGAATCAATATCCGAAGCTGACCTCGTCAATACGTGTTACACAAACGACGCATCGAACGAACAAGTAAGCGAATAGGGACCGGGTTCCTCGGGCAGCAAGCTGGCGAATCTAATAACTTTGATTCCTCATTCGATCAGTTGCGCTAACCCTGATTCCCCTCTTTCCTTTCCCTGGTTCGTTAAACAGAGTAGGGGGATCTAGCTTTAGCTCGAAGAGGAAACGAGTTCTCGTTCTGATCTGCACCGGGGGTTGCTTCGGTCAGTTACAGGGGCGGTCAGTAGGTAGTTCCGATTCTAGCTCCTAGCTCTGGAGAAGCAAACTTCAATGACAAAGATTTCACTACACTACTTATTACGTCAAACATTCCTCTTTCTACTTCTGACTCTCGCACGGATAGAGATGGAGGTCGGGATTCCCGCAGCACCGCGGCAATTCAATGAGCGAGACTTGCACTCAATAGTAGAACAATGAAAGCAGTAGTGGCACTCCCCATACTTAGATGGTCCGGCTACGCCTGGTTCTCCCTTTTCTCTTGATTTGCTTGCTCGAGGAAATGTATTCTGATTCCCCTTTCTTTTTATTAGTTTTAGGGTTGGGTCTGGCAGAGAGGAAGTACAATCAGCTACACCCGCCCTTGTGCCTCGTCAACTGGTTATCTTTTTTCCATTCACTTAGCCAGTGCTTCAGGTGGAACTGCTCATGTTGGGCATCCAATTAGCGCAGCATTGGGTATTGGTTCATTAGCTACATCTACATATAGACCGAAAAAATGCAATCACTTTATATTAGATATTAGGAAGGGAGATTTCTATTCAAATAGAAAAATAAAAAAAATTGAAATAGCGTATGAAATACGCCCAAAGACTCCCATGCCTTTCTGGACCAACCAGATTTCCGACAAGTCTTTCTGTTATAGCAAGAAGCGGAACTACAAGTGAATTTTAATCATTATGGATAACCAATTCATTTTTAAATATAGTTGGGAGACTTTACCCAAGAAATGGGTAAAAAAAATGGAAAGATCAGAACATGGGAATAGGTCTGATACCAATACGGACTACCCATTTCAATTGTTGTGCTTTCTTAAATTGCATACCTATACAAGGGTTCAAGTTTCGATCGATATTTGCGGAGTTGATTATCCTTCTCGAAAACGAAGATTTGAAGTGGTCTATAATTTACTGAGTACTCGGTATAATTCACGCATTCGTGTACAAACCAGTGCAGACGAAGTAACACGAATATCTCCGGTAGTCAGTCTATTTCCATCAGCCGGCCGGTGGGAGCGAGAGGTTTGGGATATGTTTGGTGTTTCTTCCATCAATCATCCGGATCTACGCCGTATATCAACAGATTATGGTTTCGAGGGTCATCCATTACGAAAAGATCTTCCTCTGAGTGGATATGTGGAAGTACGCTATGATGATCCAGAGAAACGTGTGGTTTCTGAACCCATTGAGATGACCCAAGAATTTCGCTATTTCGATTTTGCTAGTCCTTGGGAACAGCGTAGCGACGGATAATTCAGAATCAGAATAGGTCCAGCTCTATAGGATAGGGGACAAATCAATAGGAAATGCTATTTGCTTTGTAAGAATAAGAATAAACTTCTATGAAATATGAAATGAAAGAGTTTCGCGGGAATTGTCTTGATCATCGGATATCATTGAGAAATAGTAAGAAGTGTTATCGAACGATTTCCTGCCCAGTATGGAATGAGTAAAGAATAAAACTACAAGTCTCGATCTATACAAAACGCACTGGGTTTTTGTGTTTCTTTCGGTTTCATTGATAGCAGAAGAGCCTTAGTCTATAGGGGCGCTAGCGCTTTACTAATATAATATCAAGTAAAGGGGCCAAAAACAAACGTAATAGGCTGCTACTCTAGGCTCGCTTCGCTTCTTCAAGCTCCGCCCTTGAAAACTAAAGCGCTAACGCGCCTTATATTTATTATTTTGTAAAGCAACCTTTCGCGCTAGGCGCTCACGTTTTTTGTCTGGGTGGAAGCTGGCGGCAGGGCTTGCTTAACCGGACAGACGGAATTGGGATCTCTTTTGCATGCAACTATTTCTATCGGCTTATTCAAAGGGCTGATTATTTTTTTTATAACCCCTTTTGCTCATAAGTAAGTAAGCGTTGATAGGAGCGGCGGGATGATGATGAGTATATAAATCAATAAAGACCAAAAATAAGAAATGGCAAGAGAAATTTTATATCGATGGAGGAAATAACGATGTGGAAAACAGGGCAGGGATTCTCTACAATGACCATCGTAGACCAATTGAAAGGGATGTAGCGCTCCTTGGCAGCGCCTTTTTTTGGGGTACAAAATGTCACGGGTCCCAATCCTGTCATTCCTACCTATGACTTCTCCTCTGGGCAGTAACGAGGGACCCATTGAATTCGATTCAAATTGGGGACATAAAAATTTTTTTTTTTAATGAGACTATATGCATGCAAGCAAGATGTATTGAGGGTACAAAAAAAATCCTTTTCTTTACAGTCGTATCTACTGTGATAAGAAAGCGCTCTTAGTTCAGTCCGGTAGAACGTGGGTCTCCAAAACCCGATGTCGTAGGTTCAAATCCTACAGAGCGTGATTCCGTTCTTGTTAGGTCTAATTACAATGAAATAACTTCACTAACTTGAACAGCAACCTGAATTTTTCCTCCTAAAGGGCATGCCCGACCCGAGCTACTAGGCTTAGATCCGCTCTTCGCCTTTGCAGCTCTTCCTGAAGAAGCAGCTGTGGCATCTCTATCAGCTAGTGAACTAGCCGCTCTTGCCGCAACTAATTTATCTAGGGTAGCTCTCTCAGTTGGTTAGCTAGTGTCATTGGCCTTCGGCTTCTGGCTTTCGGACTAGTAGCTAAGTCGCTTTCCTTTTTAGGGGAGAACGGAACCAGGCATAAGGAGCTTCAATCGCTATTGGTAGTTCACCCGCTAGGGGAACGCCAGGAGGGGGACATGGTCCAAGCCCGGTATAGCATAGGAATAGAAGAAGTGTTTTTTAATAACTGTATTAAAAAACAAAATTATAACAACTCAGTTGTTCAAATCCGAGAACGCTTTTCTTTTTTTCGGTATACCGCTCCGCGAGCAGAGCGAATGAACATATATCAACATATGAATTAATAACTACGTGCTCTCTCGTTCTCTTTTCAATATTTCTAGTTTCTAGTGGGCTTTTTTTATCGTGTTTTTTGTTCGATTCGAAAATATAAGTCAGAAAAGAAAAGAGCATTTCACTTATTCTTATATATATACTCATATATATAAGGCTTCTTCGCGTCTACTTTGTTTCCCGCTTGGCCTTGGTTTTGGTGCCTTATCTTGTCTAATTTTTAATGTATCCGGATCGGATGACAAATCCTCGGACACACTCAAAGCTCTCTTGAGCTTCCCAAAGAATGCTCAGGATCTCGCGGAAGTATTTTCGTTAAAAGCGCACGAGCAAGTCCCCCCGACACCTCTTGAGACTCCTTCGCCCCCTGAGACGCCTGATCCTCAAGCTCATCACCCCGGTACCGCTGCTCCTGCAGCATCCGCTGCTCGTCCTGAGGTTTCCAGAAAAAAAGTTTAGAAGCGTCCTTACCTCTCGAAGACAAGGATTAAATCTTTATTCGGTTGGACAAAAAAGGAGACTACTGGCACTACGTGCAAAGAAACTTGAAATCGCAAGTAACACAAGAAGAATATAATAGATAACTGGAGTTTGAATCGAAGGATCTTCGGCTCCGAGAACTCCGGGACCAGGCTGCGTCTCTTTTCAAGATAGAATTATCTCGCCATCCAGATATAATGAAAAATTGCACCGCGGATGAAGCCATTTTTTCTTTTTTTAATGACCAAACAATACATTGAGGAGTCCTTTAGGCGCGGCGATAACCGGCCTAAAGATATCCTCATGATCGACAAAAAGGAAATAGAACAATTAAACAATATGATCAAAGATCTAAAAGAGAAAGGACCCACATCCTCCACGTTTCGTTCAATTGTGGAGGCGTATTTTCCCCTTAATGATTTTAGATATTTTTTTCGGAAAGCGTAGAAATCGTTCGGGGCCCACTCATTCCAGCGGGAGTTCGTGGGGAAGGGGAGAGGTGAGGCGGGCCCCTTCAATTCAACAAAGCCAGGCTTGAAAGCACCTTTTATATAGCATATTTCTCTCCCAACAAGTCTTTCTTCCTTCATTTTTTAAGCTTCTCATTATCCGTAGACGTCCCACTGCCGTTAGCACTTTTTTTAGTACTCCTTGAACCTAGTGATTTACAACCACCCTCACTGAAGACTTTCTATATATCTGTCTCCATCCAATCAAACGCGGGGCCCTCAACAACCAATGGAGCTCGCCTTCTACGGGACTGGGCCCATCTCCTTCAGCTGGCGTTAGGAGGACCCCCAAAAAAAAGGCAAGGGTGCCCGATGGATACAGCCGGCCGTACGGATTCGGCTAGGGCCGTCGAAACTTCTCCCTTCCTAATCCCAAACCGAAGCAGCTTTTGCAGTTGCCGCCCGGTTTCAAAGTTACAAACCGGAAGAACGAATAGCGCAGAACAGATAGAAGTTTTTTCTATATGAAAACTTAGGTAAGCTCCCTCTGGGCGAGAGACGACTCAAGAATATTATCGACCAGTCTACCTTCAATTTTTTAACTGCTGCTCGAGAAGATTTTGACAGATTGCTTTGCATGGAGGAAACTTTCTGGAAACAGAAATCAAGAGTTCAGTGGCTCCAGGAAGGTGATAAGAACACTAAGTTCTTTCACACTGTTGCTAAAGATAATCATAGAAGACACACGGAAAATAAAGCTAGAAGATGGGTCGAAGACTAAGATGCAATTGGAGATGCTGGTTGGAAGTTTTTTTGAGTAAGTTTTATCTTCTGAAACCAACTCCATTGATAATAGCTTCTTACAAGACATCCCAAGCCTTGTTACTATTGAGGAAAATGAGATGCTAAGTTCACCTCCGACGGAAGAAAACATAAAAGATGCTGTTCTCTTGACAGATCCACATAGCTCCCCAAAACCTGATGGATTTTCGGGCACCTTCTACCAGACTGTATAGGACATCAAAAAAAATGATTTGATTGCGGCTGTTCTGTATTTCTTTTTTTTATGGCGGTATCATTCCTAGATCGATCAATGCAACAGCAATTGCTTTATTTCGAAAAAGGAATCTCCAGCCACCTTTCTTTTCAGATTTCAGGCCAATCAGTCTTTGTAACTTTAGTTACAAGGTGATCACGAAGATCCTATCCAACAGGCTGAGTCGACTTCTTACTATCATAATCTCTAAAGAGCAAGGTGCGTTTGTTAAAGATCGTTTAATATCTGATAACATAACCATTTGTGAGAAAAATTGATAGGCACACGTATGGAGGCATATCATCTTCAAACTTGATATGATGAAAGCATACGATCGTCTGGAATGGGATTTCCTGTTTTAAGTCATGGGTCAGTTTGGTTTCTCAAACACTTACATTTTACTCATAAAAAGTTGTTTGAAAAAAAAAGTTTTCTGTATTGGTCAATGGATCATGGTTTCTTTACTTTATAAGGCTCAAGAGGACTTCGTCAGGGTTTGGAACCCTAGACTCTTCATTATTTCGGAGGAAGCACTTAGCAGGGGTTTATCTTCTCTCTTCCAAAAAGAACTTTTGGGATTTAACAATTGTGGCAGATCATCTATCTTCATCACTCATTTGTTATATTATATGCGGACGATACTCTTGTTTTCTGCAATGGTTCAAAGAGATCTATCTCGAACCTATTTGGCTTTCTTCACAAGTATGAAGCTTCATCAGGTCAGCGCATTAACAAGTCTAAGAGTGCTCTGTTTCTCTCAAGGAAAACTACTGCGGCTAGGAAGATTGTGATGCAAAACACTTCGGGTATCTCTTGCAAAAGGATTCCCAATCACTTACCTGGGTGCTCTTTTGTATTCTGGAAAGTTAAAATAAAATTTCGAACCGAAAGTGAGAAGGAAAATAGAAGTCTTTGTTGGAAGATTACTCACACCTGGAGTAAGATTGATACTTGTTAAAGATGTCTTATCTTCTATTCCTGTTCAAATACTGGCAGCTTGTTCTCTTCCAAAGGGAGTCATGACGACTAGAAACTCTTTTTGATGTCCAACTTTCTCTGGTCTGAAAAAACCGATGACCGCAGGATTTCATGGAAACAAATATCTTCTCCAAAAAGAGAAGGGGGGGTCTTGACGTTAGAACTTTTCAAGATGGATCTAAAGCTTTCAAGATGAAGATGGGCTGGATGCTCCTTGCTTGTGGAGCGGCATACCGCATACCGAAAAAAAGAAGAAAGAGTGAGGTGACGCCCCTAGCTAAATGGTTTGAGAATGGAACAGCCCGGCCATCTTCTGCTGAACGGTAGGGTAGTGGTAGCAAGGCCAGGAAGTAGAGATTAGCCTTCCTGCATTTCTATTCTTAGTCAATTATATTTGTCTTGTCGTTGAAGCCCTGTCGAAGGGTCTTACTTAGATCACATTGGGCTTGGGATGGGACAAGCTTCTCTATCAATTGGCAAATCTGAGCCTTAATCTTTCTATTCAAATTAGGGTTATAAAATATGAATGAATATTTAGTAGGAAGCCATCCACGCCGAGGTTAACAAAGAATTGGATTTCCCATGAATTTAAAAAATTAATTAAAAGCCAAAACAAGTACATCTGATATTGATCACTCTACTTCTTAACCGAGCCCTCAGCGGCTGTCATTCCAGTTGTTGATACCGTAGTAAGCAAATCAATGGATACCTTAGATAGCTAAACTCGCTCAACGGCTAAAAGTCCGAACTACAACCCTGGCAAATAAGGCAGTTTTTCTTACCCGGCGACTATACCCGTTGTTACACAGATTAGCACTTAGCCCGTCGATGTCCGTGTGTATTGGCTTTGGCCCGGTTATGATTGTAATGAAGTATAAACCACTCCCAGTCCCCAACCATTGGTAGACACATCTGAAAGAAAGGAGATATCTCAACTCATTCAGGAGGAGGTGTGCAAATGCAAATGGGGTAACCCCCGCGTATGCCGCTTTTAAGCCTTGTTCCAACGTCCGGATGTGCCAAAAAAAGAATGAAAACAGGATTCTTGGGTAGTCATAGAGCGGGTTTACTTGTTTCTAGAGGAAGCCTAATCAGCTAGTCGCGCGGAGCTAGGAAGTTCCTTCGCTCAACCGAAACGGGCTGAAACGACAACAATTTCTGGGAGCCCATATCGGCCGGGAGCTAGAACCGCAACAACCCCGTGGTTGACGTCTTATCTTAGCACTTTATCACCTATCTTTGTCAGGGGAGTCCCGTCTTTTGCTAACGAAGAAAGAACAATGGTATTCATTTT